AACCCAAAAAGTTTAAAGGTAGGGTAGGGTATCGGGGAAGTAAGATTATTACTGCATTTTTCCCACCGGAACCCCGAAACGAAGCGAAGGGGCTGCTGGCCGCAGAACCTGCACTTCACGGGCCGGAGCTCACCTGACGAACCAGTGCTTCGTAGTAGAATAGGTAACCTTTATGTGACTTTTTTGGGCTACTATCAACCCGACCCTTTATAACCCGAAAGGATATCCTTTAGTTCCTCTAGGAGACTGGACAAGTAAGAGCAAGCAAATGCTTGGCTTTCTTGAGGCCTGGCTGCGTTGAGAGAAACTTCGTCACATGTCGCCACCACGTGGTAACCCGTAAAGGAACCCCATTGCAGTTCTTAAGGCCCGATGTATTAGGGTCGTTTGTGGTACCCTGTATTCGGGCGCTGAAAGTAAAGTGTATGGGTCTTGATAATAAAGCTGGTTTTTCGGCTATGTTAGGGTGTATTTATACGAAGGAGACCTATTGCAAGGAATAGTGTTACTCATAACTCAGGCCTTTATAGCTCACCCCTAAGCCCCAAGAGCTTGATACGAAGATTGAACGTCTCATGGCCTTGATTGATATACGAGCCTGAATAAGTACAGACATTAGTCCGTGGGGCTCCTGATTCAAACTGTGCTACAAGGCACACCCGAAACCCTATTCTTCTCATGAAGGCCCGTATACTAAACCCTCACAGTAGTCCTTATACTTGTAGCTACCCCCCAAAGGAACCCTACTTTCATCATTAAGGCCCCTATATTCAACACCTAAGCCCTAAACCCTAAACCCTATATTCAACGCCCTTGAACAAGTCCAGCAGACTCGAACTCCCAGCCCAACAGCCAGATGCCACGGGAAGTAAAGGTTAAGCTTTCGGAATGTATAGGGATTTAGGGTTTTTTTTTTTGACACCTCNNAGGGTTTAGGGTTTAGGGATTTTAACACCACCAAAAAAAACAGAAGGTTACCTACTCTACTGCTGGGATAGAAGCCTGAATAATTACAAGCAGTGCTCCTATCTAGGGGGTTCCGCTATAAATTTATGGTATCCCCCCCCAAAGATCTAC